AGGAGTCGGGCTTCTGTCCGGGTAGCTGCACTCCCTCGTAAAGATCGCCGGGTCGCCTGGAGAGGCTCCACAGGGAGAAGTGGGTATCCACGTACTGTGGGGTAACAGGAACCCAAGCAGCGCTGGCCGCAGCCAATGCCTCCTTCTCAGCCTCCCCGGAATCTCCGACCTCGGCATCGATGATGGCATCCTCCTCGGCCATGAGCTGCTGCATTGTACGCTTATCGCGCCGTCTGTACGCATCTTCGTAGTCATCCTTTGTCAACGGACCAACAAACTCGGACATGGCTTGATCACGCTCAGTCCTACAGGACAGGTAAATGTGAGGTATAATTAGCAAAACCGGCCCTGTTCACGGACACATAATTGCTTACAAGAAGGAAGAAGTGAGAGTCAGAAAAGGCTAGAAAAACGTTAAACAGGCTAGAATTTGCAGATAGCCTACGCGAGAAAATGAGCCAGGGGAGGGGAGCAGACGAAACGAATACCCATTAAGGCCAGCGTTTCGCCTTCGCGCTAGTTGGAATAATTGTGTTTCCGATATCTTAAGAGGTTCAAGACAGGAATTTAGTCGCGGAACTAAGTACCCGAAGTTAAAGAACGATGTTGAATTCGACAAACAAAAATTGATATGACACTAAGGGTTTTACGTTTGAGAGCAGTTGAAAGCCGAGTGTCGGTCCATGCTACGAATAGGATCCCTGGCTGTTTTGTTCGCGACCCTATGAATATTCTTCAGGTCTAAACCCTGCTTGGCCAATCCCAAGTAATCCGACCAAAACACTAGTTGGATAATACGAATGCAGAACACCAATTTAAGGGCTCAATCTGAAATATCGCAGTCAAACAGTTCACTGGTCTTGTTGATTCTCGATCCGAGCCATTCAAAACCTAACGGGCGAAAATTCTAAATTAGGCCCACAAATACGACGATGAGCCCCTCGAAAATACGGAATAAAGTTGCGAACCAGTGGCGAATCAAACAAAACCCCCAAGTATATGGCCATTTAAACCTTGGGTTAATTTCGGGGAGAGCAATTTATGTGAACTGATAACATTTTACATAGAATGTGTTCCGATACAAACATACTGACCTCAAATTACAAGTATTAATCTGTAGGTCCACCATCAATGGCGTAACCAACGTCTGCACAGGGCTCTACGGCACGATAATAGAAATGCAGCCAGTTAAGGATAATTACAGAGGCGCCGGTTGGTTCATCGGGCCGGTTTAGCTGACAGAGAAGTTTGAGGAAAAGTAAAAAAAATTATTGTGTAGTCTCAAGATGCTGTGAATATAATTCGCTTTCGAGTAGAATAAATATTTTAGTTAAACTAGCTTCTGGAACCGGAACAGGCCTCTTCATACCGAATTAATCTGGCAAAAATAAAGGCAATAGTCCCACAGAGATTTTAAATGCCTCCATATGCCCATCGGTTTAATTTTATAACGACGGCTTCGAGAGTATACCTGTCTATGGCCGTATGGAGACCAAAAAAGAACTAAGCTGAAACCCGCTTTTCAATTTTTCGAAAACTTAAAAATGCAATGGATAAAATAACCTTCCCTTACTCAGCGAATAAAGGCGTAAGAGGCTTCATAATGCAGCTGTGAACTGCTACCTGAGGTCCATATTCAGGAAATTCATAAGATCGCCGTTTAAATAACGATCTTTTAGCTGCTTGCAAACTAGCTTAGTGATTTTTTTAAAAGACTGTTTGGATACCTCGAAGCACTCAATGAATGCTGCTGTCAAATTAACCAAGGCCTTAAGCAGAAGACTTACAAGAAACGGTTAATGACACTAGATGCAAAGTTTGACCCTCACGGTCTTCGCGAAATATAGAAATGAAGGTACCTAGGATATATTTCACGAAATACCACGGCTTGTACAGTACACTGTCGAATGTTAGTTTCCAACCAAAACAGACGAAATCAGCATCATAAGCGGTATAAACTAGAAGTCCAGAACGATAATAGGCCGCGTAGGTTATACGACGGACCTTAGGTCCTCTCCTAATTAGGTCTGCATGTGCAAGGATGCCTCATGTCCTAACTGGTGGCCGTACACTACGACGTATATAATAGTCATTTGGTGATGTTTTTAGCAAGCAGGCTCTTACGTCGCCGGTCTGGACAGCAAAACTAAACCTGTGGCATAAATAAATAGCAACAGCCTCCTCCCAGCGTTATCTGATGAAGAGAATACCAATCGTTAACTTGTCTCTGCTGTTCTGCCAAACGAACAGTAATGCAAAGGCTATCAGTTTAATGTTTATTTCAACTGCCAAGGTTAAGCTAGACTCAAAAGCCTAAAAGTGATCAAATAGCGAGGGCTCCGCAGAACGGACAGAAAGTAGGGAGAGCGAGGAACAACAGACCAACAAAAAGGCTTTATCTCTACAGAAAACTTGTGTATTTGACCCGGAAAAAAATATAATTAGCAATCACAATAGCAATACACGCGCACGTAAATATAAGTTTCCCAAAAACCAATTCGTATGAACAAGGTATTAGAGCGCGCGTGTGGATGTGTGCGTGTTTTTATTAGAGTTCGTGTGCACTACAAGGCGGATAAGTGCGCAATCACCCGTGTACTTGCGAACTCCCATAAGTAAGAAGAAAGTTTGCAAAATGAGGATTAAAACGAAAATGTTTCTAGGCCGTGAGCCGCATGTCGGACCACGCGCAATAGCGCAGAGCGTAGCTGCCTAGAGGGGAACATGACCTCCCAATATTGATCACAGAAAATTTGTATAAGTACAGTAAGTTGGTCCACGTTGGGATAAAAATAGGAGGGAGGCGACGGGGGTGTTTATAACAGCGGATTGGGAATGTGTACAAGGGACCGGACGGACGGATCGCTTAATGTGTTGTTTCCGAATCAGAGACGGTGGCTCAGGGGTCGGCAACACAATGGCGATATCTTGAAGAGGAAGGTGGAAGTTATGAGCAGACATCCTTTGCTAAGGATGACCTAGGCGGCGGGATTAGCAGGAAGTTTCATTAACAACTCTGCTGGGAGGGTGCGGTAACACTTGATTTTTTCACATTTGCCGGTGGCATAGTTCAAGTAGATGAATGTGTCCGCAGCAACGTCCATCACGTTGCCTGTCGCCGAATCGATCACACGTTCGCGATATTCACTTAAACGGATTCGGAGGGCGTTGCCAGCTTCAGGATGCGGATTCACTGTTTGGAAGAAATGGAAAGAGTTGATCAAAAAGGGTTTTACAGAGACATACGGAAAACGAAAAGGGCTGTTGTAAGAATTAGCATAGGATGGAGCAGTTCCAGAGACCCATACACTTATCATTGCGGAAAACGAAAAATAAGGTTGTCAAGAGACTTACAAAATAATAACCGGAAGTGACGACAGCAAAAATTTTCTTAATAATATGGTAAAAAAGTGACGTAGGGGAAAAAAGAAACATTTGAATTCAGAAAAATCGTACAGCGATCACTCCATTTAAATACAGGATTACTAAAACCCGTAATGAGCCGAGATTGTATCAACTCAGGGT